ATCAACGGCAGCAGCGCCTTCCTGGTGTTGCATACCAGTTGGAGGAACAAATGGCCTGGCGGATGCCGCTTCTGGGAGACCAACCCGGAGGGCAGCAGGTCAGACAACTTGAGTACCTCGTGGAAAGGGAACTGAGCCTTGACGAGTCATACCGGGCACTGTGGTGGTGCACTGTCCAGCCAGAGACGTGGAGGGCAGAGGGCATCCAGCCGGAGGGGGAGAACTACACTAGCCCTGGCCTGTTGTGGAAGGCCTTAGCAGAAGACGTCAACTTTGGCAGTCCAGCAGAGTCACGGTACTGGGCTATCTTTTATTACCGAGGTGAGATGGTACAGGGCCCGAGATCTATGGGACTGGGACAAGACCTCCACCGTTTGGCTGCCATGGAACGACAGCTAGAGATGGACTATGTGGAACTACTAAACTCATGTCAGCCACAGGGCATGGACACAGAACAGGAAAACTGTCGTCTCATTATTGGGGGAAGGATTTATTGTATGCTTTTCCAGTTTGACTGCTAGGAGAGTAAACCTATTCGTATGGTTCCTATTCAACTGTCTACAGCATTCATATGCTTGAGAGGATTCACATGCTTCTCCGGTTCGGTGGTTGTGGTGTCTGCTGCAGTGCTTGGAGTCCTCAGGAAGCGCTAGGAGCATCCTTCAACGGAGGTACCCAGTCGGGGTGCCAGGCGATCCGTTACAATAAGTTATATACTGTTGATGTTTATAACATGTTTTAGGGTGGTCCGGCTGCAGCTGTGTAAGCAAAGTTTAAAATAATGGTTGGCTTTTAATATTATAATTTTTTTTTTTTTTTGCAGTGCATATTGAAGTTACAGCAAGCTTGAGGTACCCCAACGGCATTCCTCAGGCAAATCAATATGTAGTACAAAGGGGTGATCGAAGGTTCATGCACAATTTTTTATGTTAATATCAAGCTAGAACTGGAAAGGTTGTGTCTCAGTAAGAGGAACGATTTTAAACTACTTGTTCAGATATGTCAAGCATAGTCACATGTAGGGTTCATTATAAGCATTTGCATCAAAAGAATATTCAGAGGAGTGGCAAAGAGGGGGAACATGACATGTACAATCACCATATAAACAAGGCTGTACAATTAATAATAGTTTTCCCCTTCAGCAATATACACAGGTTTAGTATTTCTTTCTAGATGATCACTACATGGCATGCTTGTCTGGCAATAGTTAAAGGGACACTATAGTCACCTGAACAACTTTAGCTTAATGAAGCAGTTTTGGTGTATAGAACATGCCCCTGCAGCCTCACTGCTCAATCCTCTGCCATTTAGGAGTTAAATCCCTTTGTTTATGAACCCTAGTCACACCTCCCTGCATGTGACTTGCACAGCCTTCCATAAACACTTCCTGTAAAGAGAGCCCTATTTAGGCTTTCTTTATTGCACGTTCTGTTTAATAAAGATTTTCTTATCCCCTGCTATGTTAAAAGCTTGCTAGACCCTGCAAGAGCTTCCAGTATGTGATTAAAGTTCAATTTAGAGATTGAGATACAATTATTTAAGGTAAATTACATCTGTTTGAAAGTAAAACCAGTTTTTTTTTCATGTAGGCTAGGGCTGCATAAACAGAAACAAAGTGATTTAACTCCTAAATGACAGTGAATTGAGCAGTGAAATTGCAGGGGAATGATATTTACACGAAAACTGCTTTATTTAGCAAAAGTAATTTAGGTGACTATAGTGTTCCTTTAAATGAAAACAAGGTAGGCAAACTTAGAGGAGCTTAACAATCCACTGGTGCCTGCACTGCTCTGCCAAGGCAGAGGTGAGTAAGGCAAGCATTGTAAAGTGAGAGAAAACAATAGCTTATACATAGCTAGGTAACAGAAGTTGAATCACATAGACTAAAGAGTAGTCAGGTGAGGTACATCTCATATATTATGTTTCTGCAGCTTGGTATCAGACAGTTCTCCTTTCGTGGGTACTTCACCCAGTGCCTTGACTGGGCACAGCTTGGAGGTTGCCATGAGATCCATCAGGCTGGGCCCCGTAGCAGCCCCTGTGGGGATTACCCATACGCTCCCAGCACCTGTCGTAGCTTGTGATCCATGGAGCAGGGCGGCTGTCATTGGTGGGGGCACATGGGGTGCGAGGTAGGTTCACCCTCCAGCCCCGGGCCAGTAGAGATGTTCGAGCCGCGCGCGGTCCTGCTGCTGCACGAGCCGCGCGCGGCTCAGCCGACCGCTGTGACTGAAAGCGGTCATGTGTTCCACCTACTCTAAGAGCGCGCCACGGGTATCGGGCGTGCTCTTAAAGGGACAGTGGGTGCCTAAATTGGAAAAGGCATCCCATTGGTCCCTGTCATGCCACACTCCCCATACACTTACCTTTTGGGGGCGTGGATGTGACAGGGACCAATCAAATTAGATGTTTAGGTATTTATACTCACCTTCTTCCCTTTGTTCCTTGCCCTATCGTGGTTTCTGTATCAGTTCCCTTTAGCGCTTGTTGTGTTCAGTTGTGTTTCTCCGTATTGACCTTGGCTTTGTTTCTGACTACGTTTTCTCTTTATCCTTATCTGTTCTGGTTGTCGGCTTGTTGTTTACTGTGTACCAGACCCCGGCTTGTCCTAGTTTACGCTGTCTCTCTGTGCCCTTGATTTCGGATTGTTCCTGACTCTGTCTCCTCTCATATACGTCGAGTCCGGCCATTCTAAGGTCCGGTAGACGTATCTCTCCTCTGTGTTGTCTTTTGTTTAGCTGAATCCTGCGTGTTGGGGTATATTCTCGTTACAGTATGATACTATTATAATAATGATATGTGCCAATGGGTCACTCACACTGACTGACTGTTAAAACAGGGCGTATCAAAAATCAATGTAGCTCTCAGGCAATTCTCTGCTTCCAATGTCTGCTCTTCCAGATCTCAATTACATGGAAAATAAAATGCATCCAGAATGAAATATAGAAAAATGTGCACAAAATATAAAAAGCATTTATTACTTACACATAGGTAAGGATCACTCAGCATAAAAATCAATTAAAACTGTCCACAATCTGTCCAACGCGTTTCCTCCAACTACAGGGACTTCCTCAGGCACTTTGCAGCAGTGTGACAGGTACAACAATGAATAAAAACCATTCCCCCTCCCTCTTAAATACACCCCACAATCAGTACATAAAGTCCTCTCATATGTTCCTCGATTGAAATTTAGCAGCTCCAGGTTCGATTACAATCACTTCCCGGTTCCGGGTGTATGACGTCATCACGTTCTATTCCGGACGTCGGACGTGCGTTCATCTTGTGTTCCACAAGATTTTTTCAATAGTGATGTGATTCTTGCGTTCCACATGTGGTCCACCATAGTGGGACCATTTGAAATTGATGTATATACAAAATATAGGTGTTGAAGGGGAATCAGAACATATGAATAAGATACTTTTAAGCACACTTTCCCATTTGATCAGATAATTGTCACATATCTCCTCATATTTATACAGTTTTAAAGTGCATTCCTCGTGTAATATAATTACCATATATAATAAAGTCTCTGTAAACAACCATATACAAATTGTGAAAACAATCCCCTTACTATTTAAAGGGGTATATTCCATATTTCCAAATGTATAAATGTTTCCCAATATTATTATTTCTTTTATTCATGTAGTTATAATTTATTAGAATTAATCAACAAAAAATATATGTATAATTTAATATCAATGCTTATTTTAGACATCTATGAAGATAATTTTCCAATAAATTAAGCTTATTTTACCTATAACTAAAATTTGTCAAACATCCTTAAATATGTGTGTTTTGATTTCTTTTGTTCCACACTTTTTTAGTTTCTTAATTTCAAGGGGAAATGTTTTTTTCTTTTTTTCTTTCTATTGCACATGATTGCAGAAAGAGACTCTTTACACTCCTATACAAGCAATAAGAGAGGATATGAAGGACTAAGTACAAAAACCATAAGAATTAAAAATAAAAAATAAAATAAAAATAACAAATCATATTCAGAAGATCCTCAACACCATGAGATAAAAATCAATTAGAATAGAACATATACATGATACAAAGCTTCAGTAAACTGATTAAATTCCAATCTAAAAAGCACCATAAATCGATGTCTAGGTTGAGTCCCCATGGTTGCAGGGTTTTTAATGTATTAATCCAGTATTTTTCCCGTTGGGCTAATTTCTTAATGAGGTTACCACCCCTCCAATACCTTTCTATTTTTTCTACACCTAGATAATGAAAATCTTGCCAATTAAATTTATTGCATACTTGCAATGTATTGGAACTATATGTTTATTTGATTTTTTTCGAATATTACTTTAGTGTTCAAAAATATGTTCTTTTAACTTCCTGCAAGTCCGCCCTACATATTGTTTCCCACAGGGACACTGCAGGACGTATATTACATTTCTGGTGTCACAGTTGATATTAGATTTTATACTAAACTCTTTTCCTGTTATGGTGCTTTTTAAATTTATTTACACTTAATAGTCTCTTAATAGTGTTAATATGCGCTTCTTATGAAAAAATAATACACTACGGTATTTTCCCAACAGTTAATTTATGTGTCTGGTTTATTGTGTGATCTCTTATAATGTATTTTATTACAAATATTGCTTACCATACATATACTAGAGCTGCTGTCATAGACTTTTAAAACTAGTCTACTTTTTCTTACCACTACTTGTAGAGATGTGATTTCTGGGTTCTTGATCCTGAATAATAATGAATGCTGACACAAACAGGGTAATTCACTAAAGTAAGAGTTCAAAGTGAATTTCAAATTTAAGGTCAAAATAGCCAAACTAGACATTTATCACAAGAGACACTATAGGCCCCCGAGACCACTTCAGCTCATTAAAGTGGTATCGGTGTAATGTACCTATCTAACTTAGTCCTGCAATATAAATCATTGCTGTTATTGAGCAGTTCAGAGGTTTTGCTAGGAAGTATTTAAACTAGGTGGGGGGAATGGGGGTGGGGGGGCAGGTGGCAAAGGGTGATAAAACATCAATCCAATTGCCCCCCAAAGCTAAGACAGAAAGTGCCTGTAGCAAGTATGTTAAAAAATTACAAGCTTAGAGTAATGTCTACAAATTCTCGCAGTTTAGGGAATAAGTTCCATGAACTTGGACAATAATGGCAACTGATAATGTAGATTTAGTCGCTGTTACTGAGACATGCTATAATGAGAAAAATGACTGGAGAACAGAGTTAGTGAGTCAGTTTGGGTTACCTTAAAATTTGGTAATCACACAGTAACTGGTGTAGTTGTGATTTATAGGCCCCCAGGACAAATAGAAGAGTTAGATAATCTACTAGTTGAGGGAATAGTTAAAATGACATTCAAGGGGGAAGTTATCATCATAGGTGACTGTAACGGCACCCCCAGGCATAAAAGGGTTAAACCGCCGTTTAATAGATCTTCCCTTGCAGAGACAGAGGCACAGCTACTGAAGAACACCAATCCACCGAACAGGAAACCATTTGAATGCTGTAAGCAGCCGAATAGGAAAAACCATACGAATAGGTTTACACTCCTAGCAGTCGAATTGGAACAGCATAAAATAAATCCCCCCAAGAATGAGACAAGGCTCTGTTTTGAGGGTCAAGCAGTGAACAGACATAGCTGTGGGTTTATTGTTCTTATGTACACATTCTTACACATTAGTACCACCCACAGGGTTTTGGAAAACAACCAATAAACACGTACAATACACTCAGACACTCCCACACAAAATTACCTTTCACAATGGGTGATGTAATTATCACAGCCAGAGAAATACAGTTTTTCCACATTATTCATAACTTGAAAAGTATGCATCACATTCACATAACGTACATTGTCAGAATCAGCATACTCCAAATACAAACATATGTCAAAATCATCCAAATTGGTCCATTGGTTCAAAAGAAAGATCGAAGTCCTTTGTGACCAAATGAAGCATGGCTTTTCTGCCCAAAACCAGTTCCACAGAGTCTTCTATCCTGGAGATAATTGGGAAGTAATCCAATTATCTCCAAGGACAGAGGCAAAACTCCATTAAGCACATTGCAGTAAAAGGACAGTAAAATACAATAAAATACACAAGGTTTTATTACATATAATACAGACATGCAACATATCCCCAGATTATTACTGAATGGCGCTCAGACCACACACATACAGTTCAATCGACATGGAGCCAAAGTCTTTTATTACATGAATAGGCTCCATGGCATAGCTATCTGGGATAAATGAGTTCATTCAGTAAATCCGCGAATCTACCGAACGCCAGGGCAGAAATACAGGAATAGACCTTTCTGCATGGGAAAATTAAAGTATTTAAATGCCGGTCCATAGTCAAAAGGCAGCAGGCAGGGGACCAGGCTCCTCCAATGCACAGTGGCGAGATTGGTCTCGTCACAGTGACTTTAATCTTCCTGATGTGAAATGGAATACCAAAATAGCTGCTTGTACCAGGAGCACACATATTCTAAACTCCCAAAAACAAGTCATTGAGGAGCCAACTCGTAAGGAGGCCATACTAGATATAGTGTTAACAAACTGAGATATGGTATCAGATATTACTGTAGGGGAAAGTTTAGTATCTAGTGATCACCAGTCAGTGTGGTTTAATGTAAAAACAGTGACTGACAGGGCTGCAAAGATATATACACCTATACATCGACAATGACATTGTCACATACGACCACTTAAAAACTCAGGCCCCACTCCAGTCAAAGGACTATTTCCGCTATCGCCAAATCAGAGACTTCACCTGTACAGCAGAGATCCGAACCGCGGCAAAACAAAAATCGACGTTCTTTGAGAAACTATGTAATGAGGAAACGACACAGACCAAACTTATTACACGACTTTACCAACACATTAGCTCGGAATCAGGGAAATGGGGATCGCTCAGATACACAGATCAATGGAAAGCCGACCTGGGGGAGACTCTTGAGGGAGTGGACTGACAGGAGATATGGGAGGTATGCAACAAAGTGTCCATGTGCGTCACGCTCTTGGAACAGAGCTATAAGACGCTCTTTAAGTGGTACACGATGCCAGTTAAAGGACCACTATAGTGCCAGGAAAACATACTTGCTTTCCTGGCACTATAGTGCCCTGAGAGTGCCCCCACCCTCAGGGTCCCCCTCCCGCCAGGCTCTAGGGTGAGGAAGGGGTTAAACTTACCTCTTTCTCCAACGCCGGGCGGGGAGCTCTCCTCCTCTTCGCCTCCTCTCCTCCTCTTCGGATGAATGCACATGCGCGGAAGGAGCCGTGCGTGCATTTAGCCGCGCGCACATTCAGCCAGTCCATAGGAAAGCATTCGCAGACTGGATTAACCCATTTGTAAACATAGCAGTTTCTCTGCTATGTTTATAGAAAAAAGGGTTAATCCTAGCTGGACCTGACACCCAGACCACTTCATTAAGCTGAAATGGTCTGGGTGCCTATAGTGATCCTTTAAGCATTACCGCATGAAGCTGAGTCCCACAGATACCTGCTGGCAGCTTTGTGGAGACAAAGGCAGTTACATACACATGTGGTGGCAATGTCCAAAAGTAAAGGAATATTGTGAGTTGGTAGATCTTAACTCTCAGGTGCTACAGAGACCTCTAGAACTAGACCCATGGGAATTTTTGCTTTCGAGACCAACTGTGGGAGCCCGGGCCTGAGGCATCATCAGGACCGCGTGTCTGGGGTTTCAAACACGTGGTCTGCAACGTCTACTCATGATGCGTGGCCTTCTAGTGCCACGTGGGAAGCAAAGCCTACTCGGCCTGCATCCATGGCGAGGCCTACCCTGGCCCCCTACGTTGGTCCGCAAGCCATGGGTGGTGGACAGCGTGCCGCACCTCCCCGACGGTGTGCAGCCGCCCAGCCCAGCGGCCTTCTAGATTCCCCCCCCATGGCAGGCGGGACGGCGGGGTTTTGTCCAGGACTCCAGCGGTGAGTAAGCCATGCGGGGTATGCGGGGTACCTCGATACCGTAGAGGACTGGGAGGAGTACCCAAACTGGGCCAGGAGCCACCTCTGACGGTGAGGTAGGCTCCCATGGGTCTCTCTCCCCTTCTGTCTCCCCCCCCCCCTTTCCCTGGTCTTGCCCTTGGGCCCCTTCTGTGGTCCGCCCGGGGGTCCAGCTTGCCTCTGGCCTGTTTTTCCTCCAGCTTCCTCTGGTCCTTCTGCCCCCTTCCCCTGCCCTGCTGAGTCCTCATTTCCTCTTTCCTCTTTTCCCTCCCCTGTCTTCTTCTTGCTCCCTCCGAGTCCCCTCTCCCCTTGTATCTTGGGCAGGGATCATGGTTTGTCTTCCCCGGTTCTCTCTCTGCTGCTCTCTGCTTCTCTTCTCTGGTGCGGCTGTTTGTACTTGCTTTAGGTAGTGTGTCTTCCTTGTCTAGGCTCCGAAGTAGTGTCTGAGGGTCATCGGCCGAGGTAATTGTGGTAGTCTTGTCTCCATTTGTTAATATCAGGGCTCCATCAGCTCCCCAGCAGTACTGCCTCGAGTTGTCTCTTAGTTTCTTGGCTATTGGAGCCAGTCTCCGTCTTTCCAGCAGTGCGGCAAAGGGAATTTAAGAGGGGCTAGAATTGTTCAATGCTTTATAGGTATGAGTTACTACTTTAAATTGACTCCTATAGGTATGGGTTGCAATAATTACTAAAGCATGGACAAGCTTTTTTAGTAGCATCTTGAGTAAGAAAGCGTTAAATGTGGGCTATGTTTTTAAGATGGAATCTACAGGATGTGGTAACATACTGGATGTGAGGCTCAAAGATAGCGTGCTTGCAAGGATGGGCTCATGTAGATACCATTAAGGGTATTAACCATTAAGGGAGAGCGAAAGAGGAGGATCAGTATTAGGAGGAGGAAAGACAAGGAGCTCAGTTATTTGTGACACTGTCACACATAGAAGGCTTCTCAATAAACTGCAATCTTTGAATTTGGATTCCAATATTGTTGAATGGGTTAGGCAGTGGCTGAGTGACAGTCAACAGAGGGTTGTAGTCAATGTAGTATATATTGAAGGAAGGTCTTGTTATCAGTGGGGTACCTCAGGGATCTGTATTTGGACCCATTCTCTTCAATATTTTTTTCAATGATATATCATAAGGTTTTGATGATAAAGTTTGTCCTTTTACTGATGATGCTAAGATTTGCAACAGGGTTGATGTTCTAGGAGGGATAAGCCAAATGGCAAATGATTGAGATAAACTAGAAAAATGGTCAGAGCTCTGGCAACTGACATTTAATGTGGATAAGTGCAAGATAATGCATTTTGGGCAGAGAATCATCTGAGGAAAGGGATTTAGGGGTAATTATTTCAGCTGACTTAAGGTATGCAGACAATGTAAAATAGCAGTAGGAAATGCTAGCAGAATGCTTGGTTGTATAGGGAGAGGTATTAGCAGTAGAAAGAGAGAAGTGCTCATGCCATTGAATAGAACACTGTTCTCTGGTTTCCAGCTTTGGGGGACACTATGAACTTTTGCCAGTGACGCGCAAGTGACGCGCAAGTGACGCGCAAGTGGCGCGCAAGCTCTGCATTGCACTGCTCTCACTGCTTTATTGGCAGGCAGTATGGCATGAATTAACCACCTTTTAAGGCAGAGCCAGTGACCAGGGGCGGGCTGGGCCGGGGGGCAGGGAGGCAATTGCCCCCCAGGCCGCCCTAAATTCCTGTAAGGCCGGCCGCGACGGGCCGGCCCTTTAAATACTGCAGCCGCCCGAGCGCTCTGTTAAGAGCCTCAGGCAGCTGCAGCTTCTCCCCTGTAGCGTGGCCGAGCTGCACTCCGGTCCGCGGTGGCCGGCCAGCCGGAGTGATAGGAAGGTGCACGCTCAGTGTGCACCTTCCTGTCAGTCCGACCGGGTACAGGAAACAGAAACTCCTGTTCCGCG